CGTCAGAAGTGCGGAAATCATTTAAAGATTTTGCACCCACACTTAACAATTTGCAGAGACAAAATGAAGCTATTATAGAAATTATGCCTGGTGATATTAGTAACAATCACATTCAGTTTTGGCTGAAGATTGGTAATAATATATTATCAATTGTCACTAAGTTACCTTGTCATCATGTAAGTTATTGACACACTAACATTAAGGCATGCAACACATTTCTCTGTATGGGTTAGAAGCTTTCTGCAAGTGGGAATTTCATCTGGCAAGAAAAGTGTTGCTATAGTTATGGATCAGATGGTGAATCTGATGCAAACGCATAACATTGTACCTTCTTTGACACTGACAGAGCTTCGATATAACATAGCTAACCTAGACTGTGGAACATGATTCCAATCCTGTTCTTTTTGCAAACTACAACCCAACCTGTGTATTGTTGGAGAAAAAAAAACAAGAAAGTACCTGTCCTTTATCTTAATATGTTTCCAATTGACATACAGGATGAGTTACTATTATAGATTAAGTTTGTGCAGATAGAAAGAGTGCACATTGGGTTATTTGCATATTATAGATAATGGATGCCAGTCAGATGATTAAATGACTGATCTTTCAGCCACATCAGAAGTTGAACTGTCTTTACATGTTGTATTAAAGCAGAAGTTTTACAAGTTGGACGGTCATCAGATGGTGAATACCATAATACATCATCTGAAACATTAATATCTGATGAAGATAAACTGGGCTCTTATTCAGTAACGGACACTGGCCTAGTGGAAACCATAGGCGACAGAACCAGGGGGGCTAGGGGGGCTGTAGCCCCCCATGGTATCAAATAGGGTGGGCTAAGCCCCTTATCCTAGAAGTATCTCAAGATCATAGTATTACAAGGTTCTAACTTACAAAAACCTGCAAATTGCATGCAGTGTACATTTATAGCTCTCAATCTTACAGAATACAGATAATTCTCCTTTCCATTCCAAAATTTCCAGTTACTGCCATTTTCTCATTTATTATTTATTACTCTTACATGATTATTATTATTATTATTATTATTATTATTATTATTATTATTATTATTATTATTATTATTATTATTATTATTATTATTATTATTATTATTTATGAATGAATAATAAATTGCATGCAGCTAGCACCTGTCACACTCCGCACCCTTCTTGCTGAAAACGGCTCAAAGGAACGTTACCTCATTCTTCAGGTCACCATCAGGAAGTCAAAGAGCTAGACCCTCTGAAAATGATGATATCTCACCTTCTATTGCTGGATCTGACAGTGACTCTAGATCTACCAGTGACTGTGAAAGTGAACTTGGTGATCATAATGAATTAACTGTTCCTGTCACTATGATAAGTGATATTGACCATGAGCACCTTCAAACTGAGAGTGCAAGCTCTTCGACTGTCATCAATCCCGTTTGTGATGCTGAATGTTGCCAGATGCATATTACTAGTAAGCCTTATCAGCCTCCTAAAAGTGTCCTTACTAGCAAAAAAGTACAAGGCCAGCAAAACCGTTCTTTTAACAATCTTGGTTTGCAGATCATTCATGGATTTCATACTGCATTACACTACACAAAGCTTTCTGTTTTCCTTGTCGTTTTGCTGCTTCAAAGTCTCTCATTAGTGATCAAATAAATCTTCAAATAGTTACAATGCCTTTGTCATTAATGGCTTTGACAATTGGAAGAAGGCCAAACAAAGATTACGTGAACATGAAAGAAGTCAACTTCATCTGGAAGCAACAATGAAGCTACAATCACTAAATCAACCCTCTGTGGCCTCACAACTATCTCAGCAGCTTTGCACGGATCAAAGTCATTGACGACTAATGTTGCTGAGGGCTTTGTCATCAATACAAATGCTTTGAAAGCAGGGTCTACCTTTTCGTGGTCATGTAGAGAATAAGGGAAAATTTGTTCAGCTTTTGCTATGTCGTTCTGCTGATGTGGAAGGCCTAAAGCAATGGGTTCATTCTGGCAAATATATGTCACATGAAATCATTAACGAGGTGATTGAAATAATGGCTCATGAATTGTTACGTGGTATTATAGCTAATGTAAAATGTGCAAATTACTATGCACTTATTGCAGATGAGACACAAGATGTTAGTAGAATTGAGCAATTGCCTGTTTCAATGGCAAGTTTTTTGAAGGATGTTCTTCTTAGATGTGACTTGTCACTTAATCGTTGTAGAGGGCAAGCATACAATGGAGCTGCCAATATGTCTGGATGCTTCAATGGAGTTGCCAGTCATTTAAGAAGTGAAGAAAAAGCAGCACTGTATGTACATTGTACTGCACGTTGCTTAAATCTTTGCTTGCAAAACTGTGCTCGTAGATGTTCATATGTTAGGGATGCTCTTGGGCTTGTCATGGAGATATTAAATATTATCTGTAACTCACCAAAACGGTTGGCAAGTTTCAAGACAGTACTGAAGGAATTTGTCCTAATTCTCCAGATCTAAAGCCACTATGTCTAACGAGATGGACAGTACGTACTGTAGCTATTGCTGCCGTCTTAGATAACTACAGTGCAGTTATAGAGGAACTTCATAGAATTGGTGAGTCACATTGTGAAACATCAGCCAGAGCAGTTGGTAATGCAGTAATGATGGAGCGGTTTTCTACCTTCTTTGGTTTAAAGTTATCTCATCTTTTGTTTAGTGCAACACAACAGGTTGCCACTACATTGCAGTACAAAGACATCAATGCTCAAGAGGCTGTTACTGCAATTAATGCTGCAAAGCATCTTTTATAGAGGCAGAAATCAGAGGAAGAATTTGATCTCTTTTATCACACTGAGACAAAATGCTATTGATAACAAGATCCAAAAACCAACACTTCCAAGACAAAGAAGAGTCCCTCAAAGAGTAGATAGTGGTGCACACAATCATGTCTTTTCA